TTTCCTTTTACTTTCCTCTTGTCCCACTATCATGTTCAGCCATCATTTGGGTTTCAGTAATTCCTCTCGGTTACATTACCCTTGATCACGCCCTACCAGGCCTCCTACACCCTCCTCATCAATGATTTGGACCACTTGTTGTTCCCTTGTCCCTGGGTTTGTTAACACCACTACATTTCCCCCAACCTCCCCCACTCCCATGTCACCCAGGAACCATTGGTCCCATCACATTTTGATATTTTTGTTTAATAGAGGTTTCCATGGATTTGTAGAAACACTTTTCTATTTACCTCCATACATGACCACTACAGAATATTAGAAGAACATCAGCAACACTGGCTTTAGGAATGGCCTCTAGGGCAGGGTCTACTGAATTCTGCCACAGTGTCCTATTTTTGTGTGCATATTCTTTTTTCTCCTTATTCTCAATAAAAATGTCACCATGACATTTTTAATAGCTGCCTCATAATTTCATGTTGGGTTGTACATTCACCCAGTTTTTAAAAAAATTTCCCCCACTGAGAGACATGATTTTTTTACCCTGATATGCACAGCTGAATATCATGGAAATATCCAGGACATTTATTGTCATATTTCACCTCCATTTATTCCACAAACATTTAAGAGCCTATTTTGTACTAGGCCTGCAGGATATCACGGTGAATCAAATATACTGTGTCCCTATATATTGGCATGCAAGTAGGGGAGAATTATAGGAATAACCCTAAATCTATTTCAACTCATTTTTATCCATCTTTACAAAATTACGATTGTAATATTAATGAACTATCATGTCTAGCACCTCTCTCACAATGAAAACACTGGGTGACCAGCACTGATTTAAGTGAACTGTTTCCTGTGTTTCATTATTACAAGTTTTATTCAGGAATCAGTTTCTTGAAGCGCTTTTGTTAGAAAAAGAAAACAAAAATGCTAAAAATTTAAAGCCAGAAACTCTATTAAGAACTTTTCTCTAAAGTAGAATTCTCTTTAGGAAAATATGCCCAAAGTGCACATTTTTAAAAATACTTTTATTGGGAAAAGTGGACATTTAAGAGACCTGGAAATAATAAAAATATTAACTATTAAAAAAAAGAAAAAAAAACATTAATATGAAAATAGTCCTAAAATACATTGCGAAGCAGAGTGCAGAATAGCATGCAAATTATGCAACTCTTTCAGTCGACAAGGGGAAAAGTTGAAAAAAAAAAGAGGAGCTGATACCAAGGGCTCAAGTAGAAAGCAAATGTTTTCAGAATGATGAGGGAAACAAATGTGCTTGACACAATGGATGTATGTATGGATTGTGATGAGTTGTATGAGCCCCCAATAAAATGATTTTTTTTTAAAGTATGTGTGCATTGACTATTTCTGAAAATAAACAAACACATGACATAAGAACAGTGATTGTCTCCAGAGAGGAAAACTGTGCAGCTGGAAGTCTTAAATTTTGAGTCATGTGTATAATCTATACAAAAATCAGTCACCGGTCTTACCCTCCATCTAGAGCAGAACTTCTCTGCTCAGGAGTGAAAGAAGTAAAAGTTACACAGCTAAACACACATCGGACCCTGAAAGCACCTGGCTTCTCGTGGCTGTTGGTGGTACTGGAAAAGCCGCTCCTTGACTCGCCGCTTGTCCTCCTCCAGCACTTTCTTCTTGTCACAGCCCCGGAGGTTGACAAGGGTCATGGCATCACAGAGAAGTGCATCCTTCACTTCTCGATCAAGACGTGAGTCCGTGGTGAAGCTTGGAGAGTGGTTTACCTGCCAGGAGGAGTCATTCCCCACCTGCTTCCTAGACCACCTGAGCAGGTGATGAGGAGCTGTGGGGTGGGCCGAACTGGAGAGGTCTAGGTGAAGTATTCCCCTCCATGGGCCTCAGCTATTGCAAGCTCTGGCTTCCAAGGCTCTAGTGATCCCACCAATTCCCACAAGTTGATGAGAGAAAATCAGACAGCCTGATTACACATACAATGTCCTTAAAGGCAAGATTCACATTGGGAACACATGATGTTAAAACTGGATCCCTTGGTGGAGGCCAGAGACTACCAAGATGTGACTCCGCAGGTCAAAAGTATAGGGATCTCATGCCTTCTGCTGGTAAACCACCGAGTGCTCCCACCCACCTCAGGGCTGCTATTCCTGATGGCCTGTTCAGGGAGGCCTTTGAACTTTGGTTTTGCAAGACCCAGGAGATAATCCTCACCTCCAGCAGCCAGGGCTTCAGTTTGTGGTCCAGCAAGATGTCAAAACCAAGGATCTCGAAACAGGCACATATACCTCCACTCAGATATTGGGGGAAACAGGTTCGGTAGTTGTGGCGAAGAACGGAATGGGCCGAGATGATAGTTTTGATGATGATGTCCTCAATGTCTCCCCACAGCTCTCGGGGTTCATAGCTATGCTCTCGCAGCCAGGCATTGAGTGTTGACAGCTTCCTGTGAGGAGCGCTCAGAGGGAGGCCAGTTTCTATGCCAGTAGATCCTGGCTAAAGCACGGGTTCCCTAGTCCTAGCCTGACTCCTGGGTCTGGGACTTGTGTATTAAAGGGCTGTTAGCAGCTTAGAGGAGGCCCTAAGAGGTGAAAACAGTTAAGCACCTAACGTACAGGTGGGCAGTTCAAACCTAGCCTGGAAGACAGGCCTGGTGATCTATTTTCAAGAGGCTCTTGAAAAGAAAAGCCTGCAGAGCAGTTACACACACACACACACACACACACACACACACACACGGTGGTCATGATTTGGAATTGATTGGATGGCACAACAGATCTACTTGGAGCACAGTTTAGTTAGGATGAAGTTTAGGGGCTGCACTTAGAGGGCACTATGTGTCATGGGCTGCTGAAACTGAGGGCTTGGGCAAAGGAAGCAGGAGAAAACAGTAAGGAGTACCTCTTACTGCCTACAGCATCATCCCGGATAAAGTTCTCATTGTGTTTGTTGATAGCATAGTTGGTCAGGTGCATGCAGACATCATCCTGTGGAGAGAGCAGTCCTGGGGTCTAAGCCTGCTGCTCTGCACTCCTTTCCAGTCCTGTGCCAGGACTGCTTCGCTCCTGTCCCTCTAGGCTTGGAAACAACTTTCATGCGCCCCCTGAGAACTGTCTTCCAAGCTCTCAGGGGAACAGGGTGTGCTGGGCGCCACAGTCACCACCCACCAAATCCTTCCTTCCAGCCAAGTGCTGAAGCTCTCTCACTGACTTCCTCATTCAAGGACACCAATGACACGTCTCTCTTCCTGATTTCTCCATAGAACCTTAGCACTCACGGCCATGGTAGAGGAGAAGGTGCGGGCCCCTTACCAGGTTGTTGATGTTGGGTTCCACATAGGGCATGGTGGCAAAGCGGGCCAAGCCCTCCTCATACATGAAGATTCGAAGAGGGTCGCAGGACGTTAACAGGACGTAGATTCGCATGTCAAACTTGAAGCCATCAATGAGGAACGGCTGAGAGCATGCCAACCCACAGGGGAAGAATAACCACACACTATTTCAAGTGCTACAAATACATAGTAACCCATTTCATTCTTACATTTGCTTTATAAAACAGTGACTCTCACTATGACCACGGAATGAATGAGGAAATTTAACAAAAGGGGGAACAGAGACAGACTAAGAAACTTGCACGGGGTCTTATCTTCAGGCAGTGAAAAGGCTAAGTGTCCAACCCAGGGAGGCTGGCCCTGAAGCTCGACTCCATTCTGCCTCCAAGATACCAGGGAAAGGGGAGAGGCCTAAAACCAGGACTCCCCTGGCTTTGTGGGAGGCGAGGCACTCCAGTGGGTCCCAGGTCGCCCACCTTGGAGATGTATTGCTGACAGATCATATGCTCTCCTGGCTTGATCTCCCGGGGATTTCGAGTGATAAAGATGCCCCGCCCCTGACAGCCGCTGTCTGGCTTGCAGATGTAAGTGCGGGGTTTCCGCTGGCGGCCGTAAGTCTGGAAGTCTCCGTAACTATGTGCAGAGAGGGGCTGGTCAAAAGGTTTCTACACAAATGTATTCTACACAAGTGCATTAGAAAGTGGATGAGATTGCAGATGCAGTTAGGTTAAAAATGAATGCCTTATCATTTGATCTCTTTGTTGTGGTTAAGTGTTAATCAAGGGAGTTACAAACCCACAGCACTCCTATGCACTACCGAATCAAACGCTGCCCTATCCTGTTTGTCCACACAGTTGTTCTGGTGCTGGGGCCACAGTGTCAGTCCGTCCATCTCCTTGAGGACCTTCTCCGGTCTTTTGTTGTTTGAGATGAACTTGTTTGCTCTAAAGACCCCAAGTCCATTTCAATTTTACTTTTCCTCCTTTTTATTAAACATCACTCAAACCACTATGTAAGTTTGAGGGATAAAGAATATGGGATTTTTAAATTTTATTTTTAAAATAAACATTCTACATAATACTTATACTATCTCAAGAATTAAAATTTTGTTTTTTAGATCTATTTTAAATTTGTTCTAGTTTTTAGTATTTTCTGCCTTCTTTTTTGATTGGTTTTTCTGTGTTTTACTTTGTTATTGTTGGTGGTGTTTTGGAGTGTGTGTGTGTGTGTGTGTGTGTGTGTGTGTGTGTGTGTGTATGAAATCCAGGAGCGGTAAATCTATAGAGACAGTAACTGGATTAATAGTCCCTTGGGGGTGTGGCAGGGTATTGAGGGGAAATGAAGAGTTAATGCAAGCACAAGAAGAAAATGTTCTAAAATTTATTGTAGTGATGATTGTACAACTCAGTAATATGATTGGACTTCAGTTGAATTGTATATGAATTATATGCCAATAAGCTATTTTTAAAAAAAGAAAAAAAGTTTTTTGCACAGCATGGCCATCTGTGCACGCCACCCCTCCCCTCCTTGGAATTCTGACTGTTATGTTCCCTGCTCTTCATGGGGCATGTGGTCTCAGACCACTTTTCTGTGCTCTTTTCTGAGCAGAAGCTTTTCTCATTCCATTGCCATCCCTCTGAGACATCCCTAGGTTGCTAAGCCAGAGTGTGGGAGGCGGTGGGACAGGAGCCCTTTCCCCCTCCAGCATCTCAGCACCTGAAGCCAGGCTCACTCACTCGGCGGGGAGGCACCAGGTGCGGGGAAAGATGTTGTACTCCGTAGGATAGAGTTTCTGCATGCGGTTGAGGTTCCGAGCCAGCAGATCTTTGCGGCAGATCTCTGTCATGCCAGGGAAGTGGTTGATTTTCTGAAACAGAGTTGGTGGTTTATTCAACTCTATCTTAATTCCAATTTCCTGACAAAAGTTTTTGGGACCCCCCACTCTATCCCTTAATGGACAGGGGTGCGAGGGGGAGCTCCTTAGGAGGCTGGGTTTTTCAGATGGCCCTGCTGTTAGCCCTGAAGCTGCCTCCCAGTTTTCTCCCTAAAATTGGCTCATGGGCCATGCAAGAAAGGAACCCTGGTGGCGCTATAGCTGAGGTGTTGGGCTCCTCCTGCTAAAGAGGTTGCAAACAGAGCCCAGGGACCTGTAGTTGCATCAGCTCCCCAGGTGATTCCAATGATCAGCCAAGTTTAGGAACCTAGGATTTAATCTTCGAACCCCCACACAGGGCTGCTATGAGTGGGCACTGACTCTGTAGCAGTAGGTTTGGTTTTGCCCTGAAGGAGGTCAGTTGGGCACAGATGGCTCCAGACAGAGAGAGCCAATAGTGAGACAGAGTGAGCCCACCAAGCATTTTCTTCAGAGAATTGCTCCAGAGACTCAACTGAAGTATATTTATTTCTCTTGGAGGAGAATGTCCTGGGGGTGACCTTTCCTGTTCAGCACAGGGGTACAACCCAACAGCCACAATGAGTGTCTGACTCAGGTGCCTAGTGGGAGAACTCATCCCAAGGACTCAACTTTTAGGATCTTGGACCAGGTGGTTGGTACCTGAAACCGCTTCATGTCCATGACTCGTTCCAGGGAGACAGAGCAGTCTGTCCAGTACACGGCCCACTCCTCATCGTCCCCTACCTCCTTTAGGCCACACATTTGGGCTGCTCGGCGCACTGTAGAGATAGGGAGGTCAGAGTGCCAGCTGGGCACCGCAACAAGCCCTGGAACTAAGTGGGTTGGAACAGACCAACCCAGAGGGCAGGTTGAAGAGGACGGTAGTATGATAACTCTTACGTTCAGGAAGCTGTCAGGACCCTTCCAAATCTGTGGCAGGGAACACAAGAATCGAACTCTCTGCTCCTATCAGCCCTGTCTTTCTCCCTCTAGTCAAGGCTGTCTCTGGTCTGCACAGGTAACCCTAAGGAGGGTTCACACTGGCACCTCATGCCCCATGTAGCCTCACGATCTGACATGCCTATGGGATAAGCGAGAATGTAGGAGATGGTTGACTTGACTGGTGATGTAAATATAAATAAAATTGGTGAATCCCCTCAAAGATTCCTCAAAAAACTCTTTTGATCTGGTCTTGTTTCATCTCTGATAAATCTAGGAAGGGTTGGACAGTGGTGACATGTGGCCTTTTTCTTGTTCTTGTTAGCTCCCTACTGCTGAGACTAACTGCAACAGTGAGTGAGGATTCATCTGCCAGTAGCTGAGCCAGAGGGCACCCAGGAAGTTCAGCACAGATCATGAGCCAACCCTGGTTTACCTGACAGGATCCAGGGGCTGGGAGTCTGATTAAGGGGTCATCCCCAGAGAAGAGCACAAAATGACGTGGCTGATGAGCTGACTGCTTACCACTCTCATACTTGCAGTTTGTCAGGTTGATCGTTAGGGGTCTGGAATAGAGGAATGACAGAACTCAGGAAGAGTGGGAGGGAAGCAGGAACCCTGGGTTGCTGGGCACGCAGATGAAGAGACACCTAGCAAGGGCAACACAACACAATTGTGTCGAATTTTCCCTAAAGGCCACTTCAAGACCAGTTTATACAGCTGATGTAAAATTTAAAACCGAGCCACCTAAAAAGTTTGTTTCATTTTCTTATCGTTGTACAAAAATGTTAGTGATGTCCCCAAATTCCCTGTCTTCTTTTGTGGGATAAAGAGAGGGCCTTAGATCATGGCCCCCCAGCCTGCTGGGGATACCAGGGGATGATGCTCTAGAACCCTGCAGGTCCAGGGGATGGTTACCTGCGTTTCCGCTTCCTCTTTCTTCTCCCAACTTCTAAGTCGTCTGGGTCAGGTGGGGCTATGATTTTCTTTGTAATTTTCTTGGCTACAACAGGTAGGGGAGCCTCACTCCCAAATGCTTTGTGGTCAGCCTTTGAGAATTCCTCTTGCGGAGGGTTAGAAGGGATGGCATCTTCTTCGCCTTTAACAGCGCAGTCCTCTTCTGAGTCCTCTTCCTCAACATAGTCTTCCTCTGATTCACTGGTTTTACAGGTACTTGGCTCCATTCTCTGAGAGTCTGAGGGGAAGGTGGGTAGGAATGAAAGGCTATCAGACCAACAGGAGTCCAGGCCCCAGGAAGGCCTGTAGGAATCCTCCCATAGGACCCTCATGGAGTTCACAGAGCAATCCCACTTCAGAATGGGATGTTTCCAAGTTGGTCGATGGGGCCGTGCGACATATATTTAAGATATCCCCCAGGCAGATCACAAATCCCAGTCCTTGAGGATCACCCCACACCACACACTGGGGCACATGCAGGGCACAGTTGGCAGAGCCTCTGACTTTTTTGGTTGCTAAATGGGGAGAGGAATGACTGGGAACGCTGGGGTGGGTGGGAAGAGGGGAGACCTTCGCTTATTAAAATCGAGCATTCGACTAAAGACCGCGTAAGCCGGCCCTTTCCCAGTCCCACATGTATGTATACACAGGGCTGAGTGGCTGAGACCTCTTGGGCTGTCTGCAGAAGGGGAGCCCAAGGCGGACATTGCCCACCAAAGGTTCGGAGGGACGCCAAGGGGCTTTGGGGTCCGCCCCTAGGAGTCCAGGGCGGGGCTCAGCTGGCTGCTCATATCTGTGTGCCCTCGCCCGCGTCCGCTCCTTCCCCGGTGTCGCTGAGCGTCGGGGACCGCCTCCTGCTTCGACAGGACAAGTTGTCCTAGCAGATCGCGAGGGAGCCCGCTCCCCTGCCAGGTTCGCTCCGGGCTCCGAGACCGCGGCGGCGGCGGCGCCTCCCAGAGCTTGCGGGCTGCCGCCGCCGCCGTCGCCATGGACACGAAGACAGTCCCCCCGCTGGAGAAGCGTTCTGGAGGCGGGGCCTTCTCTCGAGCCACGCCCACTCGGGCGCCCGCCGGGGCCATCTTTTGCTCCCTGTTTTCCAGGGCGCCTGACATGATGCGTCACGGGACTGCTGTTCATCCGTATGGGTGTCCGTCCCCAACTCCCCATCATCCTTCTGTTAACGGGCCGGTCAGGAGTTTGACCCCAGATTGACTAGATGTGAGTGGAGCTTAGTGTTCATGACAAGTATCTACTAGCCTTTGTTAATTTCTTTAATAACCATACTTTGAACAGTCTGCACAGTTAAGACATGTGCCCACACGGCCCCACCCCGCTTACAAGCATGCACCCTGGCTAAGACCGATGACTCTAATTAAGCAATAATGAAATCAGTCGCCTGTTAGAGTGCTCCTTCACTGCTACACCCTCTCCCAGACACCCATATACTTGTCTATTAACTACAGCTCCCAACTTGTCACTTTGATTATCTGTGTGGCTAAATTCAGAGGACACTTCAGATATTTCACTACTTCAAAAAAACGAACATTTCTAATTTATAGCCATCTTGACCTTTCCTTATTGAACACATGATTTCTTAATTACCCTTTGAAATGCTCATGAGTCTTTTGGACTTTCACAGCTCATTTTTCTTTCTTCCAACAAATATGTTCCTTGATCATTTCTTGCCACTGAATGCCCTGATTCTATCCTTCCTTGATCTACCCATCCAGCTTCTCCTTTGTGCTTGCATTTTCTTCCAAAGATGCAAACCTGTTATTCTCTAAAACTCTCCAGGGTTTCCCATTAGCTTAAACCAAGTCACTTGGTAAAAGAGGCCCCTTTGCATGTAAAAGTTGGACAGTGAGTAAGTGGTGGGGGGGAGGGCAGCCCCAAGCAACTAATCATGGGTTCGATAGGCACAATTGTACGGTTAACATATGTATGTATAATTATAATAAAGTCATCGAGAGCATGAGAGATAGAAGAGAGATTGAAATAATTGAGTCAAACACATTTTATGGTGGCATGCTCACCTCCTGGATGGCCATGACCTCACCAGCCAGGTCCGCACAGAGTGGGCTTAGACGAAGTGGGGCAGAGACCTCCGTTTATTGCTAACCAAGGCTTATATCTACTTAGCATGATTACAGGTAACCACGTGTCACAGGAAGGGGCAGTACAATAGGCATTCACATCATAGGAAAGGGATGTACAATTGGCATAAGTGTGACAGGAAGGGGATGAGCTAGGGGTGTACACATGATAGGAAGGGGTGGAACTAGAGGTATACCTGTGACAAGATGGGCGAACCCTAGATTCATGATGGCAGCCTAAGCTGGCCACCCTTGAGGGGGCTTGACCTCCTTCCTGGGTTTTCCTTCAGGAAAACAATCTACTACTATCCTTATCAGAAAGAAGTGGCCCTACTTATTGTGGGATAAACTGTGGTATCTGCTTCCTCTGGATGGCTGATAATGCTTAGGGACCTACTTCTTTTTTTTTTTTTTCCTTTTATTTAAATTTTTTTTAAAACATTCATCAGGGGCTCATACAACTGTCATCGTAATCCATACACACATCAACTGTGCAAAGCACATCCGTACATCATTCTCAAAACACTTTCTCTCCACTTAAACCCCTGACATTAGGTCCCCATCCCTCCTCTCCCTTCCCCCTCCCCGCTCCCTCATGAGCTCCCGACAGTACACAAATTGGTATTTTGTCATATCTTGCCCTGTCCGATGTCTCCCTTCACCCACCCCTCGGTTGTCTGTCCCCCA